TTTTTTTTTGTCTGTAGTGAGCTCCCAAAATATCTTTTTACTAAGTTTTTTTTACTGTGTAAAAGATGGCTTTTCACTGCTTTGCCAATATGCTGATGTGGAAGCCTTTATTTTGATTTAAAATGTTTCTTGTTTTTTGTGTTTCTTCCTACGTGAACTTATTATATCAACTATTTTTTCATAAGTGATACATTATCTTGTTCTCCTTATTGTGCATTTTTGTGATTGTGATGACTCCTTACTGGTTTGGGTTGACTCGTCTTCATTTCTGGTTCCAGGATGGCGAGAAGAACTTAGTATGACGAGCGAATTCATCGCTTGTTCTTGGTTGGCGCAATGGTTTATGCTGACGAACGATAATAGCCGGCAACACCTTCTTACGGAGATCTGGTTTTCCCTTCTTCACGGTAGCCATGACCATGTCACCAACGCAAGCAGGGGGCAAACGGTTGAGTCTTCCTTTGATACCTTTGACGGAAATGACGTAAAGATTCTTAGCTCTGGTGTTATCAGCACAGTTCACTGTCGTAGCCACCGGCAGACCGAGTGACATTCTGAACTTGTTACCCACGGAACCTCCGCGACCTCGCTTTGACATTGTGGCTGCTTGATCACAGTAGGTTCTTCTACTCCAACGTGGAATTACGATGTCGATGTTGACTTGTTGCAGGAAGCAGTCTGTTATCATTACTTTTGTCCGGCTAGCACCTCTGTTACGTTTCGTCTCGTGGCGACCCTTTTTTACAACATTAGACGCAAGTTAAAGGTGGTATACCTTTATGCCGAACCAGCACAACATCTTCATTTTGGTTTCCTTCATGTTTTCAATGTTGCACCTGATTCCAACTCATATGTGAAGCACTCGATGCAGTGAAAATAGTCCTTATGTCAGTTCCAATGCCAAAGGTAGGATGGCCGCCAACACTAGGAACATCATGATTCACCACTCTATTACCCTCTTGTCTTGCATCATCTGTCGTACCTCGAAAAATACGATCCTCGCGATGGCCGCGGAAAATACTGTTCGAAACAGAGTCGCCACCGAACTTTATTCATTCCAAGGATGGAATAGGAAAATATCGACAAAACCTTTAAGGAGATAAGAACATGGTCATCGCAACCAATATTCTAGGTTTGGGAGTCGGTTACGCAGAGGGAAGGTATTAGCACCCTCTACGTCCGTTGTACTCAACGGGAACCTCTTGATCGATTCGAGAGTAAAGTTAACTACGCTGTTTGTTTTCTTCTAAGGTTTCTCCTATAGGGGGAATGGGTGGTTTTAAGATAGGGTGCTCGCCAAGGATTTGGGACCTTGTGCCTACGTATCTTCACTTGTAAGAAGTGGAAAATCAGAGCATTCGTAGTTCGTGGGACTACGGGTAAAGGTTTGGGAATTGTGCTCGCTAGGATTATCGCAATCCTATGCCTACGTACTCTCAACAGATATGAGAGATCAGAGCAGCCGTAGTTCGGCTTACGGTTTGCTAAAAGGTTTGTGTTTGGAATGAACGAGAATTTAGGTCGCATTCTAACTGCTAAACGTTGGCTTGTCTGCTAGCTAGGGGAGGCTGAAGCTCGAGTTTGTTATGCGCGAAAGAATGAACTAAACGATGTTCTTTGGTAAAAGGTATGGGAACCTAAAGGTGGGAAAGAAAGAAAAGTGGAAAAGTGCTCGCTAGGATCATCGCAATCCTATGCCTACGTATTCTCAACGGATGTGAGAAATCAGAGCAGCCGTAGTTCAGCTAACTACGGTAAAAGGTTTGTGTTTGGAATGAACGAGAGTTTAAGTCGCAATCTAACTACTAAACATTGGCTTGTCTGCTCGCTAGGGGAGGCTGAAGCACTAGTTCATATGCGCGGAAGAATGAACTAAACAATGTTCTTAACAAAAGGTGTTTTGGTTGGAAATCGCACGAGGGCGAGGAATTTGTGTTTATCGCATTGGATGTTTTGGTTTGGGATATATTTGAATAAGTTTAAGGTTTCGATTGCACGGGGGCAAGAAATAGGAGTTTGGTTAGGTAATTTGATGGATAATGACGACTATTCGATAAACGAGACGTCAACCTCGCAATCAATTAATCGGGGCATTATTGGAATGCTAGATTCCAACGACACCTTTTTCATTCGAATAATTACGAAATATGTTTGAGAAAGTTTCAATCGCACGAGGGCGAGAGAAGAGAGTTGGATTGAACATTTTAAGGGAGAATGACGACTACTCGATAAACGAGACACCAATCTCGCAATCGATTAATCGGGATATCATTGGAATGCTAGATCCCAATGATACCTTTTTCACTCAATTAATTGTGAAAGTGTATTTGGATGGACAATTAAGGTATTTGTCAAAGTAACTAGGGCATGTATTTTATAAACGAAAGGTCGAGTAATCCACAACCTAAAGCGTACGCCTCAAGAGTGGTCACTCAAGAATTCGAGGAGTGCGAGACTCCAAGAACTCCATTCTTTCGCAATTTAATCAAGAAGATAGTTTGGATTTGACGTACAGTTTAGAATCGTACTAGGGTTTAGACTCGATCGTATGAAGTTGAGGAACGAGATTAGATGGTTTGAAAAATTAGGAGGAATGACGACTACTCGATAAACGAGGCGTCGGCCTCGTAATCAAATCAATCGGGACATCATTGGAATGCTAGATCCCAACGATACCTTTTTCATTCAAAATATATTTGATGGATAGTTTAGACGCGAAAGAGTTTGAATTGAAAGAGATTTTGATTCAATCACACGAGGGTGAGAAACGAGGTTATGCGGGTTGAAAAATTAGGAGGAATGACGACTATTCGATAAACGAGACGTCGGCCTCGTAACCAATTAGTCGGGATATCGTTGGAATGCTAGATTCAAACGACAATCTTTTTCATCCCATTAATTATGAAATAGTGTTTGTTGGATAGTGGAAGTATTTGTCCAAATAATTAAGGGAGGTATTTTAGAAACGAAAATGCGAACGACACCATTCGAGGCGTACGCCTCGATAGTAGTCACTCTCGAATTCGAGGAATGCGCGACTCCAAGAACCCGATTCTTTCGTGATTTGATTTAGAAAATAATTTGAATAGTTTAGCATACTCGGACTAGGCGCGCTAGGTATTCTTGAAAATAAGATCGGAAGGGTCACAACTCAAGGTGTGCACCTCGAGAGCGGTCGCTTAAAAGATTCAAGGAAGGCGAGATCCAAGAATTTAATTGTTTTGAAATTTGATTTTGAAAAATAGTTTAATTTATATATAAAATGAATTAACCAATTCTAAAAAAAGTTTTGAGAAAAGCTAATCATGATTAATTGTTTTGAAAGAAGTTTAACATTTTAACTTAATTAATAAAGTATATTTTTTAATACTTAAAATATTATTATAATTAATTGTTTTTTTGAAAAAAAAGTTTAATGTCTTTAAGAAGAAATAAGTTTTAAATAAAGTATATTTTTTGAAAAGTTTATTATTTAGAAAATATTAATTTGGTAATAATTTTGAAATGTATTTTATTTTAAAAGAATGAATATTTTTATTATAAAAAATATCTATTTGATAAAATTGCTTAAAAAAAATTAATTGAGTAAAAGAACGATTTAGAAACCGAAAGACGGAACAACCACAACTCAAGAGCGTGTGCCTCATGAGCGGTTGTCCAAGGACTCAAGGGATGCTAGACCCCAAGATCCCACTACTTTCGATATTTAACTAAGAACATAATTTAAATAATACAAATAGTCGAGTTGTTTCCAACGTTTGAAAACACAGATATACTAGAGTAAAATGGAAGGGGCAAGTGTTCTGGGTACTTATTTCATCTTAGGAAAAAAATTCAATATAAACATGAAGAGTTATTTTAAGTATTGGTTAATTTCAAAAGAAAAAGAAAATACTACTTATTTAATCCAAATATCATATCTCCTAGCATTATAACAGTACCACGCATCCCTTATAACATTGCCTCAATAAACACTACCAGTATTTAAATATTGCATCAACAATTAATTAATATTAGCATGTTCGTAACTGTATCGATGCAACATTCAAATCTTACGCAAATAACCGAAACAATCTCGTATTTACACATAAAACAACAGCAAACACAGTGCAACCCTACAGAATGAATTATGAATATTTACATACTCAAATGCAATTAAAAAAAATCATGATGCAATGTATTCAAAGTTGGAATCGAATCGACTTCACAATAGCACCCTAATTCAAGAACAACTATGAATATGTCATTAACAGTATTGAGCAACCTGCAAATCGCATAACAAAATATTACCACCACCATGAAATCGATTCGAAGAACAACAACACAACATCAACTTATTATACACGGCACACCACTCATAAAATATTAACATCATCATAGAATATCAAGAACCTTAACAGGCTGTGACGAGTAGAATAAAAAACAAACACATATGTTAGCAATACCATGAATTTGAACAGAGAAAACTATGGGCATCAATCATCATAATGCCAATGGATTTAAAATGCCATTTCTGCAGCAAGATTGATTTGCAAGACACGTATTCAGAACCACATCAGTATCAATAATATTTAACCCCGTATTAGAACAACAACGAGATATTCAAAGCATAAAGCAACGCATATAGCAACCTTTCCTGAGTATGAAACAGTGGCAAGCACAACATTTTTTTTTATATACGAACAACATATCGATGCAACACGCATTATGAGAATCACACAAGCAAAACAAACCAACAATATCTAAACCAATGCAATGCAGTAACACATAAGTATTATCATTAAGAAATCAAAACCGGAATGTCTACAACACTGTGCTACCACACAAATATTCAGTAGCAGCATCAGAACTTTGTGTTAAAATAAGAATAAACCAATGAACACATCAATAACCTGTAGATTAAATTTAAGTATAACTCAAATAAACGGAGTTGGTCCAACCTGATGCCTTAAGCGAGACATGCTATCAAAGCCTCCATGTCGGTGTCGGCGTCGTATCTGCTACACAATCGTTGCAGTTTGCAAAAGGGACGCGGAGTCGTTGCCGGAGTTGTCGCAACTCAGCAACGTTGGCAATGAAGAGAGGTTAATCTCGATTGAGACGTAGGTTTTCGCTGCTACAAACTGCTCTGTTGTTGATGAACCGCTGCTGTACCGCAATTTGAGCCAAAATGAATGAGAAATTCCACTGCGGTTGGTTCTGCTTGTTGTTGCAGAGTTATTGTTAATGCTGGACTTGAAACAGAACAAGGTGCTGCCGAGTTTGCATCGTATCTGCATCATGTGAAATGTCAAGCTGGAATTCACTAAGACATATCATGTGAAATGTCAAGCTGGAACTCACTAAGACATCCTGCAAAACCACTGTTACAATATAAAAGTTGTTGCTGTTGATATATATTCACAATATTTTGCAAAACAAGCTGTTGCAAACACCTTCCATTCAAGCTGTTGAGATATACTTGAAACCGACACAAAGACAAAGCTCGATTGAAAACGTCTTGTTTTTGTATCCCTGGAACTTTGAGCGACTCGACATGTATGCACAATGGTTGCTGTCGTCCTCGAACCTCGACACGCAGACATTCAGAGGTCTTGCAGCCTAGTAAGACTGATGCTATCGCGTGCGGTGTCGTTGCTTCCAAGATCAAACCATTGTCTCCAAACTTGTGGGTTGAAAACGAACTGTTGTTGAAGTTCCTGGCATAAAGGTTGGACAATCACAATGCCTTTGTCTCTCGCTTCATGTCGTTATTGCTGAACATCTATGCGGCTAACCATTAATCAATCCTCAACCTGAGCGTATGCATAACCCGTTCTTGCTCATCTGTGTCTCCATAAACTTGTTGCAATCTGACCCACGCATAACCGAAACCTACATTATGATAACTCGATGATGGCTGCAACGAAAAAACTCAAAACAAAGTTACTCACAAGAACAAGACTGAACTATTAACAAGAGCGAAATAACCACATGATATACATATGCATCTTAAAACCAACAAAATCCGGCCAACAAAATTCGAGAAGCAACAAACATGAGAACGACCTGATAACGAGTACGTATGGAAATTCGAATGCATTACCAGATCACTAAGTTTCTGCTGCCACAGATTGCTATCACAACAAGAAATACATTCACACAGCCTGCATAATATCTTGAAAGCAAATAGAACCGACATAAAGAAAAACAAAAATCAAAAATGGACCCAACCGCAGATGAATGATCCGAAGTTTGTTGTTGTGCGGCTGCTGCATCTGTGATAACCAAATCTTATCTATAATCCTCATCAACCTAATATCTCAGAATCCAAGTCTTGAAGAATACCAATGCAGTTGAATACCTGTCAAAAAAAAGTTAATACAACAAAAATCTGAATCAAAGCTTCAACAACATATTTGCTTTTGTTTCGAAAACTCTCAATCCAATGTGACAAGCTTGATTAGTGTTAAACTGCAGCTCAACAAATCCTGCAATAAACTCAAAAAAACATCAGCAATACAAAAATACAAAATTCCACCGGATCGACACGTCGTTGCTGCCACAAGTTGATGGAGCGAGTGTTTGGGCAAGGATGAGTTGTCGTGATTTTCAAACAACTTCACTCGAGCTGCGTCATCGACTAGCTTTCTGACCCTTGTCATATTGCCTTGTCAACCATCATAATCAAGCAGATGAAACAGACTCTTTGGCTTCCTTCTCTGAATCTCCTATAAGTTCATATTCTTCATATTTTTTTCTTAAAATGAGACACAGACATGGTCTCTAAGTATGTATCAACAACAAGGCCAGCGCGCATTGCTCTAAAACCAACGTAAGGTATGGGAAGAAAAATCCCAGATAGTTCAACAACATCACCAGGAGATACCTTTCTAGTGAGTTCTCCCCTAAGATGAACAGTCATTGTTCGTGGAATATGACCCTTTGGAACATGTTCAGATAACTCTTGAATTTTGGCCTCTTGAAATCTCAAAAACTTTGACGCTCTCAATTGAAGGATGACATTACCCTTTCTCTTGTTCATGACACAACGCCTTGATGGACACTCAAACAAAGGCATGAATATTCTAGTTGTTACTTCCTGGTAAATTTCAAAGCCACAGTCCTTACAGGTGTACACAGCAACCTGCATCAATGGTTTGACATCAGAGCATCGAGTGACTATACCAGCTAATCTTACAAGCTGGCCAATGTTTGAAGCCTTCACCTCCCTAATTGTAAACGGCCGTCCTTTTGAAGATGCTTTAACATAAACCTAAAAAAAATGTTTGATTTCAGGAGGCATCTTCTGGTGCAGGTCAGAAACATCAGCGCCTTCAGTTCCTTCATCAGATCTCTGAGTCATCAAAATGTCATGATGATCATCAACAAACGCCTCAGTAGGCTCCGGCATGAGCTCATCAATCACATCAGCAAAAATCCCTATATATCTCCTGGTATTCTCAGTAACTCGCGTCATAAATTCCTCATCTAGATCCTTGTAGCTCATTAAGTCGTCAAGATCAATCTCAACAGATCGAGTTTTGTGGTTTGCAACATCTTGCAGAATGTTGATGTACTTGGCTTCGCCATTAGCGTCTGCGAATTCGGAAAGAAACCGACTCGCTAGAACTTTGTCGGAGGCAAAATCGACGCCTTTGGTGTTCATGATTGAACTTCTCCGAGACGAAAACAGAGAGAGAGAGAGAGAGAGAGAGAGAGAGAGAGAGAGAGAGAGAGAGAGAGAGAGAGAGAGAGAGAGAGGTTGTGGCGGAACGGTGGTAGTGAGTAGTGTGTTGAGTTCAGGGTGAGGTTAGGGTTTCGTATATGGGTGGCTGCGGCCGTTTTTTTTCACGAAGGAAGATGAACAGTGTTTCGAAATTAGGGTTCCTGAAAAGGGGGCGGCCCAAATTAGGGCACGATGAACAGTAATCTCCCCCATTCTCTAGGGTAGGTTACCCTTTTATATCCAACTACACATCAACCGTGTTTTCTCACTTAATTTCTATTTCTATTTATTTTTGTTTTTTCTTTTAATTAATTAATAATTCTTTTTATTATGTTTTCTAATTATTATATCAACTATTACTAACTTAAATTCTAATCTAATTTTTTAAAAATAAATCCTAATTAAATTCTAACTCTATTTTAATTTTATCTTAATTAAACAATTCTAATCTAATTAATTAATAATCTATTCTAATTTAAAAAAAATTAAAATAAAATAAAAAAAGCTAATCTAAATATAATTTAAATTCTAAATTTTGAAATAAAAATCTAACCTAATTAAAAATAACATTATCTTAAAATAATATATATATATATATATATATATATATATATATATATATATATATATATATATATATATATATATATATATATATATATATATATATATATATATATATATATATATATATATATATATATATATATATATATATATATATATATATATATATATATATATATATATATATATATATATATATATATATATATATATATATATATATATATATATATATATATATATATATATATATATATATATATATATATATATATATATATATATATATATATATATATATATATATATATATATATATATATATATATAATAAAAACAAATAAAAAGATGCCACGTGGCATGCTCTTATTGGGCTAAAAAGCGAAAATGCCTGTTTTTGCTGAAAAATACGCTACGCTGTATAAGCGCGGTAAATTAAAAACAAAATCGGGCAAATAAACATTTTGAAAAAAGGTAGGACAAATTTGGGGTATGACAATAGGAATCATCCTTCTAGGGCAAAAGTTTCATGCAAGTTGGACAACTTTCAAGCCCCCAAATTCACATACCCCAGATGACCTGTAACTTGTCAAAGTCATAACTTGAGTTCTATAAATCCTATCAAGGACTTCTAGCACTCAAATTAAAGCTAAGATCAAGCTCTACAACATTAATTTTGGGGGTAAGATGAGATGACCATCACATCTTGAGCTAAACTTCCTTGAAGATAGGGGTCAAACTAGGGGATTTTACACTGTCAAGCCTTAGAAACCCTAGCTTGAAACTTCTCAAACTCTTCAATCATGATGAGTTGACTTTGGAATCATCCTTATAACATCTAAATGTGTCCATCCATGATCACATGGCTCTTGGATTAGGTCTCAACCTTGTCCAAATCATCAGTTGACTTAGGGTTGACCCAGTCAAACCCTAATTGTACCACTCATGGCTGAGTCCTCTTAATCTTGCACAATGACCTGTCTAGGCCTCAAAGTGATCTTCAACACTTCTCATGAGCTCTCTCAAGACCTCAAGTCTACCTTCATGGCTTCAGAATCATCTAATGTTCCCATAACTCTCAAGCTAGGAGACACACCCTCTTGGTTTCAACCACTCTCTCTAAGGATCTTTTAACTTCTCTGGCAAGGATATCAACCCTTGAACACTTGAATAACCTTCTTAGCTAGCTTCAAACTCTTGTGTAGCCTTTGATTGGTAATCATACCTCTTGATCTCCTGCATACATGTCAATGAAATGCAAATGATAATGCTAATGTGAATGAAATGAAACATAAGCTAGGTGAAGAAATGTTGGGCAAATTTTGGGGTGCAACAACTGCCCCTATTCAAACGGCTTGGACCTGACTGGGTGAGAAGCGAACGGCTCTTACAAAATCAAGGTAAAAGACGGTTGAATACCAACAAACCCGGAAATTTGCCAACTGCACAAGTACACGGTACTCTGATGGGAACAAATCTTCGAAAACTGAAATATTAGCTGCACGGCAACTAGCTGGGGAATTGGTCACACGGTAACCGGTGATACATGGTCGATCATGCCGTCAGGCATCAAGATTCCTCGGGACTCATCAGGTCATCAATCAAGTTAATCATGCCATCAGGCATTCAAAGAAATTTTTGGGCGTCAGCCGAACTTCATCACTAAGTCGGGAATGGAATTCTCAGTCAATCATGAACCAATTGGGGATATCCAAACTTCTACCATTAGGCACTCCGCATCAGCTGGGAGAACCGCTTCATTAATACGGTTGGACTTAAATCATCAAGTCTTCGAGGGAAGTTTCAACTTCGCTGTTCGGAAACCTGCTAGGGATGACGCATCTCTGTTGGGGATTCTGGAGAACTATCAAGTAACTCTGCTTCGGGGATCCAGGAATCATTCTGGGTGAATCAACTCTGCTGAGGACTTCAAGAATCATCTTGGACAAATAACTCTGCCAGAGACTTCAAGAATCATCCTGAACCAATGACTCTGTTGGAGATTTCAGGATTCATCCTGAGCAAACACTCCGTCTGGGACTCTAAGCATCAACTCGAGCAGTCCTCTCTGGCGACTTCACTGGGGATTTTAAGAATCATCTTAAGCAATCCATTCTGCGAAGGAACACCTGCAAAACAAGAACATCGACGACCTAGCTCATGCTTCATATGCGTATGCTTTGGCAACGACGCAATGCTCCACACGGTGGAAATGCTACGCGTTTTTTGGGTAAATGCTATGCAATCATGCAAAATGCTATGACCCCATCAGCAAAATAAATGATGAAGGGAGAATCCTCCTGTCAAGGA